AGCCAGGATGGTCTGGTGACTATTCTGCACACGTAGTCAAATAGTTTCATCCTTCATCCTTCATCCATCAAGGCGTGTCGTGGGCTTGGGGGAGTCAAGCTCCCCCATTTGCTGAATAGCAGTGAGCCGTGCTGGGTGGGTCTGGCAGCCCCTCCAACAGCACCCAGTGGGTGCCACTGAAAGGGTTCACAAATTAGGGTGTCTCTAGTTCCCATCCTATATAAGAGCCTCCATCAAGGGCTTCCTTATTGGATGAGACTGCAAACGGGTGGTACAGTCCAGGCGCTGGGTGAGGAGCCTTCACCTGCAGGAGCCACGTGGCCGATGGCTTGGGGCTGCCCCGGCTACGTCTGGAGAAACCCGGCAGGCCCAGAAGGACACGGCGTGTGAGTCCACCTTGGTAGGATCTCCCCAAAAATGAGACTGCCTTACTTGGGACTTGCTGCCCCGAACTCTCCATATATTCCCAGCGCGCACCCATCGTGGGCAGCATCCAGAGGTCAAATGGCAGAGGCCCAGGGCGGCGAGGCTTGCAAAAAAAGGCCGACAGTCTCCGTCATGATGCCTGGGAACCGGGTCCATCAGCACTGGCATCGCTTTGACCTCCTGTGCCATGCCAGCCTGGAATGCTCGTCTGTTCTCAGGCTCCGCGGTCCTCCCTGCCTCTGCCTTCCCCTGGGGTTGGCCGCACGTCCCAGCAAGACGAGCCCAAGAAGCCCCAGAAAACTGAGGAGAAAATGGCTGGAGACCAAAGAATTACGCAGAGGGGACGGTGATGTGAAATGCAAAACTTTTCTTGCAGAGAAAGCTCAGGGCTTTCTGTCGGTGAACTGTCACCGTGGCAAGTGTGCAGGCTCTGCAGCAGTGGCAGGAGGAGAAGGAGGAGATGGTGTCCACCAAGTTGTTTTCTGGAGCTGTGAGCCCAGAGCTCTTGGCCCAGACTCCAGCTGTAAGAAGTGCAATGGAAGAAGGTCCAGTTATTTTCCTGACATTTTTGTAACAATACAGGGCCAACAGTTTTTCTGCTGAAATACATGAGCGACTTGGGTTTTTCGCAGCTAACCCTTGGTAAGCTGAACCCTGGTAGACGTTCACTGGGACTCTCTAGGACATCAATCCCAGGGCAATCAAGAGGATCTGAAAAAGCCTTCCTTCCAATCACTTCCTCACCGCCGCTCTCTGATGATCCGGAGGCAAATTAAGGATCCTTAAAATTATGTCTTTCAACAGGCAATCAGTGCTCCTCTTGGCAGGGAAGGGCGTTCATCAACAGGCGCACAGGTCCTTGAGCTGAGATAAACACCACGTTGGATGGTACCACCTTCCAGCAGAAGGCATCTTTGCACGCAGAAGGCAGCACGCACGCACGCTGCAAGGATGAATTTTGGACGGCTCACAGTGGTATCACCTATATGGATGCACAGGCTGGGGAGACGTGGGAAGACGGAGATCACCCCCTGCTCCACATCGAGGCAGCACCTAAAGACCAAGCGGGGCTTTGGAGGTATGTCCCCAGGGGACCGCTGCCTTGCCACAGCTCCTGATGCCTTTTTTCCCAAGGGAATGGGAGCACCAGGGATACGTGAGAAGGGAGCTCTTGGAAGCAGCTCAGCCTCGGTATAGTCGGGTTTTGGAGCTCATTTATTCAGCAGCTACTTATAGCCTTCACAAATGGATGCTGCTAAGTACAGAGATGTGACCGCTCCGGAGCTCAGTTATTTCCAGCTCACTGCAGCTGACTTACGCCGCCTCCGTCAGCAGGGCTGAGGGGGGAAGGAAAACCTTCTGGAATGAGAGCCAGGAGATAGAAAAATCCCTCCTGTCGGTTTTTTTTCCCATGTTGTTACAAACCCTGAGCCCGTCCCAGCCTGACGGGTCGATAAACGTGAGTTTGGGGGAAATCCGGGAAGCAGCAGGGAAATAGCCGTTGGTTTAGGTGGGGACCATATGGAAACATGGCAGGAGCTTCTCCTCACTTTGACCTTAAAATGTGCATTTAAAGCTAAAGCCAATTCTCCCCGGCCAGCTGCAAACAAAAGAACTTTTCGGCCTTGCTGTGCCCAGCTCCATCCTTGCAGCATTTACACGATGGGCTCTGCTGAGCCGTGCTCCTCTTGGATGCTCTTTGCCTCTGATGTATAAAAGAGCCCTTCATGATGATGTTAAAAGTCAAATGTCCTCATGAAATGTCTCAGTCACTGGCTGATGAGTTTGGTTTGCCCAGTCCCCCGGGGAAAAGAATTTGCAGACAGACCCCACGTGTAGGTATGGGAGATGCGGTGGGAGAGACATCTTCCAGGAGCACGGTCTCTGCACCGCTCCTTGGGGTTACCAAGCCAAGCCTTGGCTGTCGGCGTCTGCAATGTTCACCGCTGCAGAAGGCAAGTCCTCATGGGGAAGGCAGAGCTCCTGGAGAACATTGCGAAGAGCTGCCAGCGGGGGAAAGAAAGGTGGTGCCGTGCCTGCGAAGGACCTTCAGAGCTCAGACAAGAGGCAGGAACAAAGGGCAAGTCGCGCGCTCGGGGATGACGAAGCCCGTGCGCTGGCTCTCTCCTGGCTGCCCACACCTGTACGCAGCCCACGGCCACGGCCAGCCGTGTCTTTTGAGCTGCTTTGATTGGCAAGTGCTTAAAGCTCCCTGGGGTTTTTGTTTTCACTTGGTTTGGGTTGGTTTTTTCTCTTTCTTTTAATAGTAGGGCTCATTTTCATGCTGGCTACCAGATATACGTGGCTTGCAGCTACTCAGGCAGGTGTCGCAGCCAGTTTGCGGTTCTCGGTTGCGTCATCCCCACGGTTTATTTAGAGTTCATCCTCTCTCCACCCAAGGTGGAGCTGCCTGCTAAGGTCTTTTCCTCTAGGTCCGTTCTGCAGGAGCAGCTGCGTGGTCGTCAGGAAATGTTTGGGCATCTCTAAGGGTAGTTGTTTTTGTGGTAAAAGTGATGACTTGTCTCTAGGCTCATCCGTGCTAATTGGGAGTGGGGAGGAGCGAAGCCAGGCGAAGGGCAGCCCGGCCATGCTCAGTTAACTTCTGCTTCTCTTTCTTCTTGTGCTGTATCGCTGTTGAATTTCTTAAAGCGGCTTTGTCTTTTTCAATTTCTCTCCGCGCTTTGCGTGTCTCTCTCATTTCTTCCTGGCTCCATTTCATCCTTCGCTCCTCAATCCCCTCGGCCGCTCATCCGGCTGCTTTTTAATCTGTTCACCTCCCCTGCTCTCCTTTCTCCCCTTAGGCAGCTCTCTCCTGCTCCCCACTCGATGCGTTCCCCAGCGGCGTTTTCTCTGCAAGCTGTTTGTCCAGCCGCGTGATGGGCGTAATGTTTGCAGGGCGCTTGTCCTTCACCGTCTGGTGCACGGTCTTCACCAAGGGGTGACCCCTCGGGGTGGCACCTGAACCTCCCTTGGATGCTGGTGTTCGCTCAGCCACGTCACTTGTTCACTTCATTTATCCAGATTTGAAGGGATGGGAAGGGGAAAAAAGCCTCCCAGCCATCAATCATCCCTGAGCCTGCCCAGACGGAGATTTGCAGTCCAGCTCGCATGTAAAATTATTGCACCTTCCCTCCTCCTCCTCCTCCTCCTCGTTCTCCTCCTCGCTTGGCGCTTTGCTTCAGCATCCCAAACCTTCCCATTTCAGAGCAGGGCTGAAGTCGTGTTGCGCAGGTGCTGTAGGGTGAGTCCCTGGGCGGTATCAGTTGGGGAGAGCTTTAGATTACGATAAACTCAGTTTTATTATTGCATCGCTGAGGGTTTAATGCTCCTTACCTCTCTTTCCTTGGCTTGATAACTCACGTTGTCTTATCTCGAGTCGGACCGAAGCGGCTGCCGTGGTGGGAGGCAGCGTGGGAGCCCTGCAGCCATCCAGAAACCCTTGTCCAGGAGTCGGGGGGTCTCTCGCCACCTAAATCCCACAGCGGGTCCCGAGTGCCCACCCGTTGCCATAGGATGCTGGTACCTAAGCGCTCCGAGGATTTGGGGGCTGCAGAGGGACTGCTCAAGGAGGGCATCCCCCGGGCAGGAGCCGCTGGTGATGTCCATGGCTTTCATATGCAGACCACTAAATAACTAGCTAAATTCTGTTTCATTAAAAAAATAAGATAAAAATAAAAATAAAGCCCCACTCTTTTGCGCAGAGTTATTCACACGTAGCAAAAAATAGAGCTGGTATGCAATGCCTGCCTGCAATGTACTCCAGGAGCTGCAGAGGCACTAGCTGGCACTTTGGGACCAAGGGGAAGATATTATATATAGCCAGGCTCAGTAAATCATTCCTCCGAAGGTTTTTTTTCTTCGAGCCTGCTCCCTCTTCCCTTTGTAGCATTACCATCCTTTTCCCTTTCCACTTGCTAGCAACATTGCACTAATTGTGCACAAACTTGTAGGGAAGTAAGCAGCATCTCTTCCTTCTCTGGTCCCAAAGCAGAAGGCACCGTGTAGCAGGGATGCGTACCGAGAGGTGAATTAAATCAGCGCTGTGCAGCCAGAGGTGAATTTCACCGCACTTGTCCCTGCGCTCCATTGGAGATGGGTATTTGTTTCCAAGTGTGGCACCGTGCAGATAATTTTTAAAGGGTCCTTTGCTCAGCAGCAGCAGGGATCTGGCTGGGAGCCGCGGGGTTGTTCACCCTTACTCTTTTTGTAAACCGCAAAACTGGGAATTTAAAGTCCAAAGACGTGTGTCAAGTGATCAGCAGAGAACAAATCTGCGTCCTTACTTATTTATGACTTACCTGACATATTTTGAATAATTGATCTATCTAGCATCAGGCACTTGGGAGGGTAATGGAGGATGATGCTGCAGGGTCAGAGGGACGTGAAGAGGGAAATAAAACCCTGAGAAGGAGGTTTTGAAGAAGTTGGTTGAGAGCAGGGTTGCTTTGACGTCCACTGTGCTTTGGCAGATGCCGTCTGCGTGAAAAGCTGCGGGGGGACCGAGCGGTGGGGGTAAGAGGCCATGACCTGCCGCGGCAGAGCCTAACCCCGCTCGCCCCTTCCCTGTCTTCCAGCCCATCACTTCATCGCGGCGACGGCGTGCCAGGAGGCGGACTACGGCTGGATGATCCGGCACCACTGCCTGAAGCAGTTCCAGCTCAGCATGGAGGGCATCGGGCAGCGGCTCTGGTGCGACTGGGATGAGACCGTGGGGTAAGTGAGGTCCCTCTGCTCGTCCCTCCCTTCCCGGCGTCCTGGGACCACCTGCACCCGTCTTTGATTTTGGGGTGTAAGGAGGTCAGTGGTGGGTTTTATTTCATGGGAGGGAACAAATGTGCCATTTCACTCCACTTTGCAAGTGCTGATGCTGCCCTGGCTCCATGCCTGCTGGGTCCAGCTGAAGGAGCTTCCCCGTCCCAGTCGCTTGTGGAGGGGGGCCATGAGGTGGGCTTAGAGGGGAGAGCAATGGATGTTGTCTTCCTGGACCCTCAGTGAGGCTTTTGACACCATCTCCCATAAGATCCTCACAGACAAGCTGATGAAGTATGGGCTGGATGAGCAGACAGCGAGGTGGGTTGAAAACAGGCTGAATGGCTAGGTCCAGAGGGTGGTGATCATTGGACAAAGACTAGTTGGAGGCCAGCAACCAGCGATGTACCCCAGGGGTCAATGCTGGGTCCAGACCTGCTTAACTCTTCATTAATGGTCTGGGTGATGGGGCACAGTGTACCCTCAGCAAGTTTGCAGATGACACCAGACTGGGAGGAGTGGGGGCCATGCCAGAGGGTCATGCTACCATCCAGAGGGACCTCGAGAGGCTGGAGAAATGGGCTGATGGGAACCTCATGAAGTTCAACAAGGAGAAGTGCAAAGTCCTGCACCTGGGGAGGAACAGCCCCGGGCACCAGGACGTGCTGAGGACCATCCAGCTGGAAGGCAACTTGTCAGAAAAGGACCTGGGGTCCCGCTGGACACCAAGTTGACCATGAGCCAGCAACGTGCCCTTGCAGCAAAGAAGGTGAATGGTGTCCGGGGCTGCGTTAGAAGGCGTGTTCCCAGCAGGTCGAGGGAGGTGATCCTTCCCCTCTACTCAGCACTGGTGAGGCCACCCCTGGAGTGCTGGGTCCAGTTCTGGGCTCCCCAGTGCAAGAGGGACATGGACATACTGGAGAGAGTCCAACAAAGCGCTGTGAAGATGGTGAAGGGTCTGGAGCATCTCTCCTATGAGAAAAGGCTGAGAGAGCTGGGGCTGTTGTTCAGCCTGGAGAAGAGAAGGCTCGGGGGGGATCTTATTAAGGTAGATAAATATCTGAAGGTAGACCCCCCCCAACCATCGTGGGGGTCTCCGCGGGACCTGTCCCCCTCTGTCGCCACCTTTGGAGGCAGCATCCAGATGTGGTCCAGATGCGGTGAGTGGCAGGAGAAGGGGATAAGCACCTCCCTGGGTGTCCTGGCTGCGCTGGGGGTGAGCTCCCACCCCTGGGACCTTCCCAGCAGCGCTGTCCCCAACCCAGGCCGTGCCTGTGCAGGGACTGAGTGTGTTCCAGGGGCAGGACTTTGCTTTTGGTCCTGGTTCGGTGCTATCTGCAAGCTTGATGAGATGCAATCCATCTCCTCCTCCAGACCTTCGGTGAAGCCATTGCACGGGAAGCAGAGGTGTATTAAAGAGCTTGTTCTTTATCTCCGACGTCCTGTTTTTCTTCTAAACAGCTTCTACTAAACTTGTTATCCTTGAGGCACTTGGAGGAAATGTTGATAAACTTGCAGTGTTTAATTTGATTGTGTAAGTCCATTTGCTCCGTGCAAACACAAGGCTGTGGTTATTTAAGAGATGACATTCCTCTGATCCTCCTGTGCCCTCAGGACACTGGGAAAAATCAGGTGGAAATAGCTCAGCTGCTGCTGTAAATAAAGCTGCTCTGCAAGGATATGGGTTTCGGGCGGCCACCTCGCTTGACACCCCTGCTCCCTTGGGTGTGCATGGGATCCACCATCCCCTTTTAAGAGAAGAAGTACTGTTAGGAGATGTCCCAGCAGGAGTGGGCAGGGGGTGGCATAGGGGGTCGGTCTGTCGGTCGTCCCTCTGGCTTTAGGGGGAAGGACTTGACTTCTACCAGGTGTGAGACAAAGAAATGGAAATAAAATACCTGCCTGGAGCCTCATCTCTTTTCCATATCTCCCCCCAAACCGAGGAATTTTGATGCTTGAAACCTGTCCAAAAATGAGAATGAGAAATAGTTGAAGGTTTTGCCTCTGACAGGTCCCATCACCATCGTACCATCAGCAGCATCGGGTTTGGAGCTGTGATTTCTCATATGCGTCATTTACCGGAGAAATGCCCGTTAGGCCCATCATTTACTGCTCAACTGAGAATGACCTGATGGGAACATCTGGATAAATTAATTGCCTCAGCAGAGTTTGTAATTGTGGTTTATTGGTCCTATTTATAGGCTGCAGATTATCCTCCCATCTTACCCTCAGAAGTATTAATCTTGCGTCACTGGTACCGCTGCATTCAGGTGTAACGGAGGGGTCTCTCTGGACCAGGAGTGTTTGCTGAGGTTGGGCTTGGACCACGTGAACAAGCACCAACTCTGAGAAGTTTTGTCCAACACCGTTGAGCTCTGCTGGCTTTCTTAGCCGTGCTTATTTGGGGAAAGTTGATGGTTTTTGATATGCAAAATGGGGTACCAGGGGAACTTGAGTGAGCCGTTACACACTTCAGGAATGGGATGCCAGGTGGGTTTTAATACAATAATTAGTTCCAGAAGTTGGCCATGAACGCTGTCTCCTGGGAAGGGAGAAGGACTGCTCTGAGAGGTGTTTTCCCTTGAGGCATCTGGTTTCTTTCCCTCTCTTCCTCCCCAAAGGACGAGCAATCCGGTGTGGCCTCGGATGCTCCTGCTGGAGCCGTGCATGCCGGTGCCTACTGGGTCAGCTGCTGACGTGCTGCAAGCTGCTCTCTCCGGCCCCGCTGTGGCGTTGCTCCATGGATCCCTGGCCTGAGAGCAATTTAGACCAAGCACCCTGATGTTTTGTTTTCCAGGGCATGCAGCCGCCCTGTTATTTCAAGCTGGAGCTGCATCGTGGTCTCCTCTGCTTCATGGTGGTGGCCGAGCTGCTTTGACCGGGAGCTCAGCTGTGCGTGACTAATTATACTGAAGATCAACTTGCCTATTTTGATTCCAGGTCCAGATTCATCGGTGTGCCGATTGAGCCGGGGGATTAGCTGTGGTCTCCCTCGGGGCAGCTATTTTGGGGAGGCAGAGCGCTGCTGGCAGAGCCGGAGCTGCTAAAGGGGTCGGGCTGCCGGCCGCTCACCCATGAATGCATCAGCAGGAGCCAATGACTTATAGATATTTTTGCTGCATGGTTTTAGCTCGCCAGCGGGCCGTGGCCGGGGGATGGCTTGGCACAGCGGTTTTTGCACGGCGTTGGTGCATCAGGCAGCAGCGAGCAGGACGGGAGGATGCTCGCTGTGCTGAGCGCTGCCGCAGCTGCGGGTGTCACTCCATCCGAGCCAGGTGCCTTCATCCCAAATATATCTGCCCTGAGGCATGCCTAAAAATCTCCAGGGAATGCTTTCCCATCGCTGTGGGCATCCTGCGGGGAAAGGAGCTCACCGACGTGATGTTTCGCCTGCCGGTCTGACAGCCGGATCCAGAAATGTGCCGATGCTGCCAGCTCCCGGCACGGCTGGTACCCTGCCCTGCTCCTACCCCCGCTGCGGGGCTGCTCTCACAGCGGTGAATGCACTCACAGCGTGTCTTCAGGTTATTACCCATTATCTTATAGACAACAGATTGATCCATTATCTTATTATCTCATTATCTACTATCTTCAGGTTGCCTGGTCCCTTCTGGATACCCCTTTACAGTGTCTCCAGGCTCGCCCTGCAACTTTGCAGAGGAAGAAAACGTTTTTTTCTTTTAATTTACAAAGCAAAAAGAAAGCCTTGTGGGGTTTTGGTTTTGGTTTTTTTTTTCCCCCTTTCTGAAGCAAGGGATTTGGGGAGGATAGGAAAAAAATCCTGATACTTGTGGCAAAAGGGAGAGCTGGCGACCCTGTGAAGCCTAACTGGTATCTGTAGTGTAACACCATCTGCACCAAGGCGCTGGCAAGGAATAAATGGCAGATCAAATTCCAGTCTCGGTTGCAGTGGTAAAAAAACCAGAGGCATTGCTTAGGATTTACAGCGGTGTAAGCATTCGGATCCCGTCAAACCATAAATCAGTCCTCGATTGCTTCCCACCAGCGGCCCATCCCCATCCATGGGCGTTCATCCCCACGTGGTCCCCCTGCTGCTTGGCCTCCTCCTGCCGCAGTATCCTTTAAACCCAAACTGTTTCCGTGGCGACAAGGAAAACAGTTTTAATTGCAGTTCACATTAGGTAGGGGAAAAAAGATATTCAGAACTAAGCAAAGCCGTACGTCTCCCTGCCCGCAGCCTGTGGTGGTGGGATGGCTTGGGAAAACCTGCCCTGTTCCCAGTGCTATCCTACCTCAGCTCAATAATCACAATTTTTTTAAATATTTTTTTAGTAATTAGAGCTAGTCTTTTAAGGCATTATTTAAGGCTTTTAAATTAAGATGCTGGTATTTAAGGCAAAACTGAGGCGGGGGGCAAGAGAAGGAGGTGGCGTGGGTGCAGACCACTTCTCCTTTCCCTCTCCCCCTCGGTGGTCTCTGGGACATGCTGACCGTCACGGGGAGCTAAGGACGCCCTCCCAGCTCAGCACTCCTCCACGCCTCCAGCCGCGGGCATCCCTCCATCCCTCCATCTCAAAGCACAGGCGACCCCTGCCCCGAGAGCTGCTGTTCCCAGGGGAGCCCTCGCGGGGCTGCGGGTGATTTTTGGCACTAGGAAAGATCCCGGAGAAGCCCAAGCCCAGTTGGGAAAAGGGAGCATGAGATGGGAACACTTCTCGAAGCCGCTGAGCTCTTCTCAGGGTGGGGGGAAGCAGGACCAGCCCGAGTGCTCTGACAGGGATTTTTTCTGCACATACAACTGGACAGTCCTTGCGAGAGACAAGAAGAGATTTCAAATACCTTCCCATGGGGGCAGAGGAGCCCGATGGAAAGGCTTTTGGTGCATTCTCTAATTCCAAATATCATCTTAACTAATTCTTCCATTGCCAGCCAGGTTTTGCAGCCTGGCTTTCGGCTGTTATGAATAGCACATGGCGCGTAGCTTTGGGCTGTGCTGGCTATTCATAG